ATAACAAGTATTGTGTTTTTGAGTTGATAGTATTATAATAGTATAACATTTATTTTAAAATTTATTTTATATTAATGTTGGTTATTTGAATTTATAACAATGCAGTTAATCAATAAATTTATTTTAAAACTTAATTTATATTATTATTTGTTTTATTGGTTGAAAATACAATATTTGTAATAAAATATTAAATTATTTATATCTATTATGAAATATTTAAGTTTTTATAAAAAAAAATTAAATAAACTTAATTATGTTGATTCGATTAATCAAACTCAATTTAACCTGTTCATAAACAAGTAAGATTGAGTTTGATTTTTTTAAAAATATGCACTAATTCAATTTAATTCAACCGGTTAAATTTTGATCACATCAAATAATAAATTTATCTAAATCCAATCTAACTCAACCCACTAATACTTTTAAGTATAGTGCTTTCTTTATTAAAAAAAAAACTGTTAATTAGAATAAAAGTCTTTATTTTCCGCCCTATGTTTTTATTTCTATTTTTTTATACTAGGAGTATTCAAATAGGTTTCCGTTTCCTATTCGAGAGGAAAACAACTCTCCTAGACTAGGATTAAAAAAAAAAAAAAAGTAGGTAGAATATTCCTGCCACTTTCATTCGATCACTAAAATAAATACAACAAAGAATAACCCTAGAGTAGACTCTTGGACCTTAGTCTGTAGGACCACCGTCCAGGTGTCCTACTCCTACCTAATCGACAAGATAAGATTACTGATTTTATTAAAAATTGAAATTCTGACGGCAATAATCCTTAAGTTAGCTAGGCTCATGCTTTTCCCCTTTGGGCTTATTGGTGTTAGACCCCAAAAGCCAAGAGTCTATCATTGCCATGTTACAAGATTGATTTTCCTTGTTTTATTATTATTTTTTTCTCTTCTTTTTTATTGCTAGTTAGAAAAATTGTGAAAAATAATAATATACGTTGTTATATAAAATGCGATGTGTTTTATTACTTTATTACATAGTTACTTTTCAAATATTTTTTAATGTAATTTGTTATTATTGAAATTTTCTTAAATATTTTTCAAATATAATTCAACAATACATAATAATTTAAATATTTTTTCATTTTTATAAGTTTTAATATGTTTTTAATCCTTTTAAATATTAAATAATTTTGATTTTGATCCCATAAATTTAAAATTAGCTTTTTTAAACCTTGTAACTTTAAAAGAAAATAATTTAATTTGGTCCTTTTGTTCAAACATCTTTTTTTTTTTTGGTGAATTGAAGTGGCTAAAAAATTCTCAACAAAATCAAATTAAAAATTATGAGAGAAAGAAATAGAGGTCATATTAGCATGTACATACATAGCAAAGCAAGGTAAAACAATATAAAAAATTTGCAAATTCTCATTAAGAGATATTCCAAAACAAGCTAAGTTACCTGCAACTTGGTTAGTTTCGCACAAAGCATGAGACCACTATAAACTACCACTAGCAACCACAAATGACTTAATGCTTTGAACCAGTTGAGCACAAGGATGATGAGGAATGCAACCATCTCGAAGAAGTGTAACAACAATCAAGGAATTTGTCTCAACAATAAAAATTCTAAAACCTCTATTCCAATATAGATTGCCCACAACTTAGCATGTAAGAGAGGACAAAAACCAATATTGGCAACAAAGGCAAAGAAAACCACTCCTCGATGATCATGAAACACTCCACCAATAGCTGATTTTGAGGCATCTATACACACAGAACGTCATAGTTCAATTTAAAGCAGTTTGGAGTTTGATGAACCCAATGTATAAAGGCACATTCACACAGATTGACAGCATAAATTGTTGGGCTAGCCACCTCCCTCCAACTATGCATCAAAGCATCCACATAAGCTAGAACTTGTATTTTGACTATATAAGGTTGAACAACCACAACCTTAAAAATGAGAAGATTTATACCACACCATATTGAATTAAGGGTGAAGGTAAAAATGGAAGACCAACAACAGCCAACAACTTGTGAGTTATCAGTCAAATTTGATAGAAACCAATTATTCAATTCCTGGGTAAAAAATATATTATGTCGAGCTTGTGGAAGCAACGTAACCCATACTGCTCGGGCAAAGGTACAATCTCAATAAATATGTTGTTTAGATTCCACTTCACGTGAACATCTACCACAACACTGATCCATGGTAAGGTGCCTAGAGAAATGCAACTCATTTGTGAGCAAAGCATTCCTTGAAAATTTTCAAAGGAAAACTCAAATTCGATCAGGACTCCTCCACCTCCAAACTACCACAAACATAGGGTCTTTGGTCACATTCAGACCATAAGTAATGCTAGCAAAGGCAGATGACACAAAAAACTCTCCATCTGCATTACATTTTTAGGAAATGATATCTCGACAATGCATCACATCAGGCGAATGGATTGCACGAATCTTATTGAACACACTATTGGGAAGAAATTGACGAAGTAGAGTAAAATCCCAATCCCTAACCTATCCACAAATTCGCATGGTTTACGAATCACCAACTCATCCAGCACCCTTCTGATAGATGCTTGAGTTAGATTCGCATGATTAGGGACCTAGTTATACAACCAAAAACTAAATGAATAACCACTCCCCACATTCCAGGATAGTATATCCTGAACTCAGTTCCAATTATCACACAAACCTCTCCAAAAATTAGGTCCTGGACGTTTCTCATTAATAACAGGCAAAATAGAATCACCACAATAATATTTAGCTCGAACAACTTGAACCCATAACCGATCCAGTGGTGTACACAATTCCCAACCACACTTCGTCAAAAGTGCTTTGTTAAAATTGTTGGCTGACCTCAACCCATGACCACCAACAACCTTAGGAGTATAGGTATGCTTCCAAGCCACCATATGGACTTTCATGTGATTAACTTCATCATAAACAGACATAGGGAGTTGGGCAAATTGCAAAACATATATAGCCATGGTTTGCAACACCGACTAAACTAAAGTAAGTATACCAACAAAAGAAAGTTGACTAGCTTTCCAATGTTGACAAATAATATGTTAGTCTTTGCCAGCCAACATTACGTGAAAATAAAACACGCATTTTGTCACAATTGAGCTCCTCACTAAAACTCACACAAAACATGCTCATAATACAAAGAATGAGTTCAGCTTCCATTTCATTAGCTTTTGCAAAAAATAACAAATCATTTGCAAAAGTTAGATGATACAATTTAGGGGCTCTCCTAGTAATCTTAATAGGCTTCCAATTCTTAGCCTCAGCCTCCAACTGGATAACGTGAAATAAAGGTTTAATACATAACACAAAAAAATATGGGGAAATAAGATCTCCTTATCTTATGTCTTTTTTGGAGCTAAATTCCTCTAACATCTCACCGTTCCATAAGACTCTCATCTTATAAGAGGATATACAACACCAAATGATCCAAGGGATTAAAGTATCTTTGATATCTATAAAAATTCACTTATTACTAAATTTGTAATAAAATTAACTTATTAATGTTATTGTTAGTAAAAATATTACATTAAATCAAAATGATGTTGTACAATTGACTTAATCTATTATTACCTCGATAAGAATAATAGTTTTGAGAGATTAAAATAAGTTTTTTTTTTTTAATTTTAATTATCGAGACTAAAAAATACAGCCTCAACTTAGGAGAGTAAAGTTAAATTTATCCAAAATTTGAGAGTATGAAGATATTTAAGTTTTATATATGTTATTTGCAAATCATCATTTAAAACTAAATTTTATTAATTAAAGTAATTGTTGACATTTTTTTTAAAACAATTTATTTACATATTTGTACATGAATTTATTATTATTATTATTATTATTATTATTATTATAATTAATATAATTTTTTATAAATTAAAACAACTGTACACAATATTTTTTAATTAAAATTACTAAACGACTTTTAGCATAGAAGGAACTTTTAAACTACAAAAATGAAATTTAACAAACAACTTCTATTGTTTTTAGTTATTGTTTAGCATTAAAAAACTATTTTTTAAGTAAAAAAAGGGGGTGGGGGGAGGGGGTGAAAACTTTTCTATAGTAAATGGTGAGTAAATGATATTTTGTGATAAATTTATTCGTGTTTTTATTACATTTTTAATCAAATTAATTATTTAAACTAAAAAATAACTCGATCAAAATTCAAAATAAATGACAAAAAATTGAGTCAATCGGACTTTTCAACTATAGATATAGTTAAAATTATTTTATAAAAGAAATATAAAAATTAAAAACAAGATATATTCTATAATAAATAAAATGACCAATAAAATTTATAATATAATATTATGTTGTATAAAATGTTTTTTCATTAAATCAAATTATTATTATTATTATTATTACATAATCATTAAAAACTTATACTTTTCAAGATAATATAAGACATCAAACTAAATTAAAACATTTCAAAGCATAAATTAGAATCACGAGAACCAGTTAAAAAAAAAAAGAAAATCTTGAGAGCCGACCTAATGGAAGAGGGAGAGATTATAGTAGTATAAAAGTTTGCATGTTCAAGTTTTATATAGTTGATAAGAAAAAGTATAAATCCAATTTCTATTTAAAAATATATTAATTCTAAACTAAAAACAAAATTTCATTAAAATAAATCTCAAGTCGAATGAAGTTGAGTCAAATTGAATAGTATATATTTAAATACCAGTTTAAATTTACGTTCAATAAAGAAAATATCTATTTTCATAGAGAAAAATTGAAAATTTTAAGCATAATTTTTTTTTCAACCTCAAATGAATTGAATTAAACATTTCTTAAAAACAGCCTTGATCATTGATTAGAGTAGAATGTGCCTCCCTTTCAAGCAAGCTGCACCTTTATAATACATTTGTTAAACCAATATCAGTATTTACCGAATTAAACAAATCTTACCTATCATAAAATAAAATATTAAAGAAAAAGATGGTTTTGTTGGGCCGAAAGTAAAATTAAAAAAAAAAAAAAAAGTGAGTATAAAAGTAACGAGGAGGTACTTGAAGTTGATGAGTACGTGAAGCATTGCGCCCTAACCAGTGAAGCAAAAGAATCAGGCGAGTGTGAAGTAAGCGATGGGTGACGTTTCAGATTCCCATGAACAAGCCCTTCTTGATTCCGCCGAATTCCAAATGAAGAAGAAGCGACTCTTGGAGGAGCTTGAATCAGCGTTGGACAAGAAAACGGTAACGGCGCAGCCTTCTCCGTTAGCCCTAGGGATCGAGGTCATCGACGAGACGGCGTTGCTCCACTCCGTCGCCAACAACCTCCCTTCTTCAAGAAGACGAGGAGGAGGAGCCAAGAACAATAGGAGGACCGACGAGACACCACTGCCAAGGCCCAAGAGCAAGCCCAAGCCCAAGATCGGGAACCACAGCTACTCCCGCAAGGAGTTGGAGGGCCTCAGGTTTGTCAACATGGCCCAACAGCGCAAGTTCTGGAAGGCAATTCACGCTGCCTTTCAAACCTCCGTCGCCAACGAATACGATACTTTAGCTTCCAATCTTCTTCCGCACAACAAACCAATACTCAGTAAGTTTTTTTTTTCTTTTCTTTCTTCTTCTTTTCCATCTCAAGAAATTTAATCTTTATGTCGATATGCTTTCTCATATGTGAGCGTTGTGCTGATTGGTGAAGTGAGGCTTCATTGCTGCGGTGTTAGGTCATGTTGTGTCAATTTGATGTTTTCAATTTTTCTGATGCACAGGTGGTGTGGCTGCTACTAATGGAAGATGGAGATATATGAATGTCTTTGTCCATTGAAGAATGAGCAAAAGGAACCTGGAACTTGTCTAATATGCCACATTAGTTCACTGTGTTCTCATTGTTCTGCTTAGACAATTCGGTTGCATCGTTACTTGTATATAACAAGTCTTGTGCAGTAGGATCTTTGTAGATTTGAAAGATTACATTGGTCATTCAATAATGACGATGCTTTCTTATTTTACTTTGTATGTTGACAATTATACTGTTGATTTTTTCAATAATGAATAATCAATACAAACTTCAGCTTCTTGTCTACATTGTGCTTCGATGAGAAGGACATGCTTTACCTTGTCTTTTTTGCTTTTACAGATACTAAATTATATATTTGTTTCCTCTTCCGACCTTCTTAAATTATTAGCAAATTGACAGTGCTGGTGCTGAAAGTTTTGTAATTGTTTTCAGGTGCAGTATGTTGTGAAAATAGGGATGGTGAGTTACAAAACGTGGAAGGTAGGGAAAAAGTGACTACTGTTGGCCCTACTTGTAGTCATAATGTTATGGGCGAGGATAAGTGCTCAGATTTAGAAGAGTGCGGCGAAGATGATGATAGTGATGATGATTATGCTAGCATTCAAAGGCCTGCCTTTTTGGTCGATGGAGAACCTAATTTTGATTCTGGTCCACCGGAAGATGGATGGGAATATCTTAGGCGTGTCAGGTATGATCATAACTATCTGCAGCTGACTGCTGGTCCCTATATTGGTTCTGTTAAATTCTGGCGAGAGGGAGAAATTATACTGTACCTTACCCACTAAGATAAATAACAAGGTTCCTAAACTATTTTTTTTTGTGTGTTCTTGAGTAGGTGGGAGGCAGATCAAATTCCGAAAGTGAAGGTAGCAAAACTTGATAGAGGTAAACTTAACAAGGAACAAAGTCCTTACATGCCCAAGATTCCTGATATTGCGAAGTGCCCAGAGCATCTGTTGCCATTGAACCAGTGGGAGGATGTATTTCTTGCTGAATTTTCAGCACTGAGAACGGTATGTTCTTCATGAATCAATTTCTGTATGTCTTTTTTTTCCCGTTCATTTTTATTTGGAATGCCAATACTCTTCATCCAAGATTACAGAGTTGTGCAATTCCTGCGCCACTTCCTCACCTACACTTGCAACCACATCTTGGACCAATTTAAAGTTTTTACTGTAACAAGACGAGTATAGAATTGAATACTTTTGTTTATATCATATTATTTTCTCATTGTTTCCTAACTTTTTATTCCAGAATCTCTCTAGCCTTGATGGTTCAAGTGCCGTATATTCTGAAAATCTCCCTGTTCATTCCTCACTGCTAGTTGGGAACGATTTTGGAGAATTTTCTGGTGTGAACAGAGATGAGGATCATTTGAGAATTGGCAAGACAAATGATCAACTTACTAACTCGACTGCTGAAGATAAGGACGGAACACTGTCTCCAGTGAACCCTGAATCGAAAACTTCAGTTGATAAAACTAGAAGCAACACCCCTACTCCTCCTTTGCTTTCCATAATTTTAGCAATGGACTCGGTAGCCCGGGTATCAACGTTGGTGAAACGAATTAGCTTGCTAGAGGCTGCAAACACTATGACAAGAAATGATTCCATGTGGCTTTTTGCTCTCTGTGCAACAGTTGATGCTCCACTAGATGCTGACACATGTGCTTCTCTCAGGAGTCTGCTGCGAAAGTGTGCCAGCATCCGTGCCGAAAAGGTTGAGCTTGATGAAGAGGTTGTTATGTTGAATATATTGGCCACAATTTCGGGCAAGTATTTTGGACAATCTGGAAACTGAATTCCCAATTTGTAATTTTGTTATGGCACCTTCTGTTTTAGGATGGAGGCAATGACGTGTATGCCATGGTCTTAAACTTATAGTTGTTTAGCTGATAACATGGAGTTTTCTTATTATAATACTTTTCTACTTCTATATTGTTTTGGAGATCGAAAAAATATATATATTGGCGTATCAAAAATAAGTTAATGTGGTTTTTGTATGCCTAAAATTTTGTAGAGTTTTTGTGCAAATTAGTATAGTTTATTGATACCAGTTCATAGGTTGGTCTTAAGGATACAAGTTTCTATTTTTGAACAAAATAGTTTCCGCTTCTTTTTCTGTTTGTCAATTTTGGGGAAAAATTGTTTGACATTAATTATTGTTTTATGAATTATGCTCTTATTGAAAAGGATAAAATGTAATAGTGTATGGAATGTTAATGTAAGAGAGATAAGTGATAGGAATAAAGAAATTATTATAAGTAATTAATAATAAAAATTAAGAAATTAATTATTTCAAATTTATTTATTGTAACTTTAAATGACATAAAATAGGGAGTATATTTTTAATACAATAATTTTCTTACGAAGCTTTTTGTTCTTAAAAAACGTTTAAAGGTCTGTTGAATTATAATGAAGAACACTTTTTTTAGACTCTGGTAGAATTAGTTAAGTTTTATTAGAAATAATAAAATTATGTTTGAGATTTATTGCTCAAATAAGTAAGAAGCGAGACTTGTAAATTTTAACAAATTATAAGTATAAAATTAAAGGGCCCAATGATTATATAATATTGTTCTAAAAAGTTTTACATCACGACTAATTAGAAATTATTGTTAGTATAATTTTAAAGTGATTATTATAAAGTTAATAAATTTATTATATATTATAATTTGTGATTAGATGATAGTGAGGTGCGAATAACATTTGGTTTTGTCAAAATTAAAAAGAATGTGTCATGTGTGAAAATTTTTTTTGTTGGTATTGTTTTTCTATATTAAGAAAGAAGAAGTAAAATAATGGAGTGTTGGTCAAATAGAAAAATTAACGGACAGGCTCAGGTGTGATACGGTCGTTGGGTTTTACGCCGGGCATGGGCATGGGCATGGGCATGGGCATGGGCATGGGCATGGGCTTGGGCATGGGCATGGGCTTGGTAGTACTATTTGGGGGAAGGTAACATTTATGTGATGAGACAGGTGGGGAGTAGGAGAGTTGAAGGTGTTAGGAAAAGACAAATTTTCCATATGTTGTCCGCCAACACTTGCACTCTTCCGTCCCAATTCCCACCGCCATCCCCATGCCGTCAGTATTGCCGCCTCACCGTCGTCTGCTCCTCCTTCCGCCGCCGCAGTCGCAGTCGCAGTCGCAGTCGCAGGCGCCACAACAAAGTGTCTCTCCCCACCTCTCCCTCCACTTCCGAAGGCAAACTCGAAGCCGTCATCGACCTCACTCCCATAACCGCTTTCCAATCTGACCTCCGCCGATTCCTCTCTTCCGGCAGAGACGCCTACCTCGATTTGCAAACCCTCATCACTCTCGACCACGACCGCAGGCTCCTCGTTTCCTGTCGCCCTTCCACCTTGCATTTCCTCCGAACTTCCGCCTTTTTCACCTTCCTCGCGTTTTCCGTTATCACCGTTTTGCCCAAATTGGTTTCTAGGGTTTGGTCGTGGCGTCGTAACGCCTCCAGCTATAAGCCTGTGGTGGTGCGGAGGGACCGGAGTCTGGGCGGAAAAGAGGTGGTTGTTGCGTGGGGCCAACCACCCCAAAGGAGTGATACCAATCCCTTGTCTCTTCCGCTTCGGGATTCCGTGAAGCGCTCGGCCAAGAATAACGTTCGGGTCCAAAAGAAGCTGCCGAAATGGTGGCCAACTGTAATCAATGTCAACGCTTCTCTTTTTGACCCCAGTGAACAGGACGAGTACAAGAGGGAGGCTTATAGAGTGCTTCGAGGTTTGTTTTCTTTTTCAAATTATTTTATTTTGCAAATGAGACAAGAGAAGAGAAGGGTTGAATGAAAGCAGGGTTCTTTGTTTTGTGACTGACAATTTCAGATAATATCCATCTTTCTTTGTAGGTCCGGTTCAGTTGAGTTGTTAGTTAGTACATTTATGTTTGAGCTTCTTGTTAGCTTAAATTAAATATGCAAAATGAGCGGGGAAGAGGGTAATAACATTTCTTAAGTTTATTCTATTTTCCTCTTAATTGAAATGCATTCATATGTTTTAAATCTCAATCTCAACTAACTATGCAAAACTATGATATGTTGTCTGTTACAATTGTTTCTGGTCCTACTTCCTAGTATTTCTGGTCTCTGGATAAATAAGGATTCTATTCGTGTGCTTTTTTGTAGGTAAAGATACACGTTTAATAATTTCTATAGTGTTTTGCCATCCATTTTTTCAAGTTACAACTCACCTACTTGATTTCCAGCAATCACCAACAGTAGATTGGGCGGAAATGACATCATGGAGAATGATATAATTCAAGTCAGTCTTTTTCCTTTTTTTACTTCCGGTGTTTTACTCAATTTTCAATTATATATAGATGGTATTTGCTTTTTCTTCGAGTAGTACCTTTGCAGCAACTACTACTTAAAAAGTTATAGTACTGTACTATTACTACTACTACTATTTGATACTCACCTGTATCAATTTTAATATTCCCTTCATATTTCCAAATCCCTATATAAAAAATTCTTTTAAGTAGCTTAATGCAACGTGGTACTAAAGTTCTCCGAAGAGTAAGTGATAATATGCATGCTCAGCATTGTCTGATTGATGAGCATTGAATGATTAAAACACCTACTGATGGTTTTAATTCTTTTTATTGATGTTTGCTTATAATAAATCTTTTCTATAATAAAAGGGAATTAATCTGTTTCTCTTCTTCTAACACTCAAACTGTTTGTTGCATGTACACATGAACAGTTACGTCAACTGTGCAGAACTGCTGGTGTGCAAGTGTCTATTGAACCAACAAATGTCCGGGACTCCTTGTATCGAGCATCTGTTAACTTTGTTTTAAATGTATGCAGCAGGTGTGATATTATCAGCCCCTGCATTCTGGTCTATCTCTTTGTTCACAGTATATGGCATCTGTTAATCATGCTGTCTGCTCTTATTTTATGAAATTAGTGGTTACTTTCTTTCTATTCAGGGCACCAACCAACTCAACTTCAATTGATATAAATGGTGAGGATGCTCCGCAATTCCTTGCTGGATTTGCTGAAAATATTGGCCTTGAAAATGTTCGTGCTGCAACAATTGTGTCTGCAGCTGTTGCTGCTCGCACCCGCTCATGTCTTCTACAGGCTTGGGTATTTTTCTTATCCCAAATCTTATGATATGGTAATTTTGTCTTTCAGCATTTTTACAAAATTACATTTTTTGTGACAAATATTAGTGAAGACAGTTATATTTTCAGTTTCTTTCAGTTAAAATTACATATTTTTGTTGTTTTCAATTATAGGCTCTGGAAATGCAAGGCAAACAGGTTGATGCTATAGTGGAACTGTCAAAGATATGCCTTCTTCTACGAATATTTCCTCCCGAGGAGTCATCGGTATGTGTCCTCAATAATATTTGCAATTTTTTTCCATTAAATTTCCCCACTTCCCTTGGATGAACAATTTATTTGCTAGAGCTTCCCCAACTGTAGTTCTTAGGTTAATTCTTGAAGTTAAGAACCGTTCTTAACTGGGTTCATCATTTTAGCAGGAGGATGTGGATGTGTGTAACAATCCTTCTTATATAAAAACCAGTTCTTAACCATTAAAAAATAGTTTAGAGGTAACTTGTGAGACCTATTTTAAAGAAATATAAAGGTGTGGGATAACTTGTGGAATCCATCTGAGTGAAAAGTTTCTAACTGAAAATTGAATGTAGTACGTATGGACCCATAAAGAAAAGAGTTAAGAACCTCCTATGGTGTTCACTATTGAAAGTGCTCTTTTCCTCGTTATAATTAGGTGTGCGAAAAATCTAGATCGATTTGATCTATAATTCTATATTAAAAAATTCGATCCATTTAGAGAAAAAATCTGAACTGATCCACTTTCCAAAACTGGTACAGTTGCCGATCCATTTTTACAAAGTGGATTGGTTCAGTTTGGTTCTTTTTTTTAAAAAAGTCGATCTATGAGTAAAAGAAGTAGATAATCGCACCATACTAAACTGAGCCAATTTTAAAAATCCCATCCATATTCTTTAAAAACTGAATTGGTCCACTTTATAAAAAAATAGATCAGTTAAGTGGTCTACTTTTATAAAATGGATCAGTTTAATTTAATTTATATTTTTTAATAATTCAATCCATGAACACCCCTTATAATTATTCCTCACTTGGCATGATGAGGCTTGGTTGTAGTCATCTCATTGTAGTTATTCTTTCTTAAAATTGAGAACTGGATATGACCTCTTACGGTGACATACAATTAGCATTCGTATGTATTATATTTAGATATTAGATATTTTCATCTTGTTTTTTATTTATTTTATGAAACATAATTTCACTGGTAATTCTTAGTATTTGCATGAATCTTAATGAATAATTTGTTGGAAGAATTTAAGATCGGAGACAAGTATCAAATAACCACTCATTGCATTCAGTTCAGTTCTGAATTCTTTAATAGAAACATTCTCTTATTAGAAAATTAAAAAAAGGAAAATACAGGGGAGAGAAGGATAAGAAATCTTCCATGGTTGACTGAACAAAATACATTAGGTGAAAAGAAAGTAAGAAGTGCATCGAACCTTCCCAATGTCTATACATGTCTGAAATGACAAACAAGCATCGGCAGTAAGCCAAAGACATGCTGTAAATGCAACCTTATGACAGTCATGTTCTCTCATGGACAGCTGATTAGGACGATTATAATGAGGCATTAGGTAGATAGAAGGATTTTGCTTCTAACTTAATCTGTTGCAGCATATGATTTATGTATTGACTTGCCACTTTCTACTTGCACTTATTGTATGCAGCCTGAAATGGAGATGGTTAGTCGTGGCCTAGAAAAACACTTGAAACTAGAACAAAGAAAACACCTTATGTTTCTCTTTGGTAAAGTCTGTGGCGAGGACAGTCAAAGGATTGCAAGAGAAGCCCTTGGTTTGGTGCGAACCTTTACCTTACTTTTTAGATCATGCACAAGTAATTACTCGCATTGAATTTATTTTTAATATAATTGCATTTGAAACTACATGAGTAGTTAAATCATTAATTTGGTAGTGCGACTGTAAGAAGTCCTTTTAAAAGAATATTTCCCACATTGAAGGTTTTTCAATCTCAAACATATTTTGTTCTTGTCATGCTTGTGTATGATGGTAGTGAGCTAGTGATATGGATATATAATATCCAAAAGCAAAAGGCAAGAGCAATGCTACTCAGCTGTAGGTTTGTTGAAATTAAGTTTTTTGTTCCTCAGTTTTCATGTTGGTTGTCTTGTGTTATTACTTGATTAGGTTTGTTAAATTATGGATACTAGTGGCAAGTATCTTTCCTCCTTTGGTGCGTATTCTTTGCCTGCTCATTATCTGTTTCTTCTGTTTTTGTGTAGATGCATTATCAAAATGGTTGCGCTGACCAACTTGAAGACAACATCGCGCCGTGAAAATTAATCTCTGCCTTCAGCCTCATTCGGGGAAAAAAAAAAGACTGACTGAAGATGCATTCTTTTAGAATATATCAAGTTTAATCTTTAGATTATTATATCTGTTTATTCAATAATATTTAGAAAGTTTCTTTTAGTGATGTATATTATTTTCAATGTCAAAAGATGATTCTTTTATTGTCAACAATGTTAGCTTTTTAATAATTTGAATGTCTTTTTACCATTATTGAAAATTAAGGAGCAAATCGTTAATTGCCGTGGTTTTCCATAACTCTGTTTTATCTTTAATTGATTCCTGGTGGCAAAAGACGTGAATTAAGCAGCACATGTATGCCTCTGTCTTCCGGACGGATCAAAGCTTAGAAGATAACGGCATGCCAGGAGGAGGATCATACTACCAAGTATATTTGTTAATTTTGATATAACAATAGTGAACACATTTGCAAGCACTGCTCTGGTACGCCAGCATTCAGCTGAGAAATTATTACTAAAGACTCGATCATTTGAAATTCTGAATTGCTGGTTTAAATTGCAGATTAAATTCCATACATATATATCAGGGTAGCCTAATGAATACAGTAACAAGTAACCACCAACCAACTCCATTAAGATAGGTTGTAAAAGCACAATGTAATTGTAATTTACAGACAATTGGAAACTCACTGCAATAGTCCGTAAATTACAGTTATAATCTAAACTCACATTGTAATGCTTATAATAATATGATTTTTTTTAAACTACTTATGGCTTTATCATAAGGTTAAGCAATTATTTCATGTAATACCTATAATTGTTTGTGTTATCATGTGAACATGTGACTCTTCTAAAAATAAAGTGTAGATCTTTAAAATAATTGTTAATTTTCTATCATAAAATGAGTGATAAAAACAAAAAAAAAAATGCCTTTTTTTTTTAATTTATAATTAAAGACAGACTAATTTTTGTTTGCTGGAAATTATGAATGCCAGTGTATTTTCTTCTTAATATAATTTTTTTTTTATGTTGAACAAAATTAAGGAGTGACTTTAAATTTTAGAGAGATGAAAGTAAAAAAAAATATGTCTTTTTTTTCTTTGATTAAAACTAAAATTTGCTTGTTTTGTAGAACTACAGATAATGATTCTCAAATTTATAGAGATGAAAAATGACGTAAAATATTTACTGGGAAAAAAAATAACTCATTTTTAAACACTATAAACAAAATTAAAGTGCTTGGTTAGACTTTTTTCAGCTTATCTTTGTAGGACAATCACTTTTTTAAAAAAAGTTCTAGAAAATTAGGCTACTAGAACTCATGTTTAAAAAGTAACTTTAATTAAGGTAGTAGGAAGAGTTTTTTTTTTTTAATAGCTTATACGAGCTTATTTATGTAGTATCCTCATCAAATCTAAATAAGACAGCAAATACCATATTCTGTTTTACTAATTTCTGTATTTGAGAGTTTCTCATTGAATAATTATCACATATTTTTGTTTATTTTTCATTATAATTTTTTTTTGTGTTCTCTTTTAAAAATAAAGTATTAATTATTTTTATTTTATACAAATTTATTAAACAATAATGTATAAGTTTTTAAATAATTTATCTTATATAAAAAGAGTAAAATAATAAAAATGACTAAATTATATTTTTAGTCCTTTATAAATTTTTAAGAATCAATTTCATCTCACTATTTTTAAATAGTTTAATTTGATTATCTAATCTTTAAAAAAATATTAAACAGTTTTTGTTATCCAAAGTGATACTAATGATGTTAATGAAATTGGACAAAAGGATAATATTGCACTTTTTTTCTTCAAAATTATAGGGTCGAATTGAAATATTTAAGACTATTAGAAACAAATTGAACATGTCACAAATTGAGCACTTGGAGTAAAAAAAAATAAACAAAATGAAGAAGAAATTAGCTAATAAGATTTATTATTAATTAGATAAAAATTTAAATTTATTTAAACAATAAATAATACTATATTCGTTCCTAACAATAAAATTTAATTACTTAATTCATTAAAATTAATAAAAATAGTTAATTTAGTTGATAAAAATAAATTTTGTCCTATTTATAATTTTTTTTTCTTAAAACTATCCTCATACTACTTATCTTTCATAATTAATACTTGTATATCTTCTAATTAATTAGAAAACATATATCATATTATTTATTTCTCAGAGAACACACATTAATTAAGGATATTTTAATTTAAAAATAATTAATACATGATATAATATGAATTAAGTCTTATATAAATAAGCAAATAATCGTTTTAAGTTGGATCTTATAAATAGAAATGTAGGTAGTAATAAATTTGTTAGATAAATTATTATTTAAATTAATCTCTTTATTTTCAAAATGTTTAATTTTGTCTCACTATTTTAAAATGACTAAATTTACTTATCTATTTTTTGAAAAATATTTAATGCTATTTTTTTTCTTCTAAATTGATATTAATAACGTTAATAAAATTGAAAGAAATAATAAAATTAGATATTTTAAAAAAAATTAAAAGACTAAATTGAATATTTTAAAAATAATAATTATAAATTAAACACTAAAAAAGATATTAAAAAAAAACAATAATTTAACCTAATAAAAACACATCTTATAGATGGAAGAAGAGAATAAAACAAAATCTTAAGTATTATATAATAAAATGTAAAAAAAAATGCTACTTGAAATAGTGTATCAAAAGAAAAATAATATTTTTATCAATAAAAAAATTATAGCAAGACAGTAAAAATTGATCCTAAATCTTTATGCATTTAGTTTAGTCTCTACTAATATTAGGTATGTTTACTAATATTGGGATATGCTTGTTTAAAGTTTTTTCTCCTAAAAAATATATTTTCTTAATAAAATAAGTATTTTTATACTTTTTTAATGTTTGTCTAAACTTTTTTATTTTAAAATAAAAACTTTCTGTTTTTTTTAAAGAAGTATTTTATAAAGAATTATTATTTATAAAAAAAACACTTACAATTTTTTAAGATTAATCAAACGGATCAAATTTTTTTAATTTTATAATATAACAACTTTTTTATTTTTTTATTTTTTAAGTTCACCAGAATCTATTTTGTCGTCAAATTGTAATAAAGCTCCGTTGCTGTAATAAAGCCTGGAACGTATCAACTTATAAAGTAGTAAGTTTTAAATGGAAAATGAAATTAAAAAAAAAAAAGTACCGGCATTTACAAGGAGAATATATGCAAGTATATTTCCTGATATTTTCAAAATAGTTTTTTTTATTTTAAGGTTTGTGATTTTGGTCAAGATCTTACTAAATCAACATAATTTATTTTGTATCGAAACTGTAATAAAAGGCTAATTTGTGCAATAAGATTTTGTAATAGGTAATAAATCTTGGAAGATAATTATGAAGAAAAATAGAGTAGTTTTAAAAAGGAAAAAAATGAAAAGAAGAGAAAGTGTGGGCATTTAGAATATTGTTGCAAGTTTTGGTATAGAAATCAGTTGCTTTTGATATGTGTGTTTATTTAAATTTATAATTTGAAGAGGAAAGTTTGTTGTATAAAATTAGATGCAAGTTGAAGCGAAAGAAACGTGTAACCCGAATAGAAAAAAGGGAAACAAATTTCGTGTAATAATATATAGAGAGAGAGGTAAGGGAGTGATTCCATATTTTAATTTTTCACCGAACCAACAGTGACACACCAAACCAAACTAGAAAATCCTCCTTTGACTCTACTTTGCGTTCCTGGCACCTCATTGGTCCGTCACTTTGAGACGCGTCACGAGTGTGTTCCAAGCAAACAACATCATATAACATAGCCTTTTCATTTTCCTCTCAAAACCAAACGCACTCTCTCTTTTCTCTCTCTCTCTCTCTCTCTCTCCCAATTTAAACTTTCAAACGCCCAAACAGAGTGAATTCAGATTCAGATTCGGAATCGGACTCCATTTGTCTTTTGAAATTCGCACGCACGCTCTTCTCTCTGTTCAGCCACTTCCAATCCCTTGCCGCAGCTGCAGATCAAATCGACTTTCACCTGAATGCTCCTTCTGGACTCGATTTAGGTTTGTCTTTGCTTCCTCAAATCCCTATTTCATGCTTCACGTCTTTTCGTATTGTGTCGGTGAAGCCTTCATTTCTGTTTTCCGTTTCGTTCTTTGCAAGATCTCGCTCCTGCGGAATCCTATTTTGTTTGATTTCCTAGGTCTTCTGTCGTTACCTTAGGGATCTCTGTTTTATTTTGGAATTCGCATTTAATTTCGGTTTAAATGATGTCTTTAGCTGTTTAGTTACTGCAAGATCTGTTTTTGTTTTTTTTTGGGGATGATGTATTGAGGGTTTTTAAGGAATAGTTTTTGTTGATTCCGTTGCAGATCGAGTTCTTCATACTCTGATAGTGTGGGAGGATATACATGAAGAACGGGATGATAGAATGCAGTGTTTGCCATTCCAAATTGGTTTCCCCATCCGCCAAAACTATTTCAAGGGCTTATGATCGCCACAAAAGTAGGATATCATCCAAGCAACGTGCACTCAATGTCTTTTTGGTTGTTGGAGATTGTATTCTAGTTGGTTTCCAGGTGATTCTCATCTCTCAATTGATTTTTTTTTTCCTTCCAAATATTAACGTAAATGTGAGGTAATAGCTATGACGCTCAGGATTGTTAGGACACTAGACACGGCACAAACATTATGCCATGGCTAATTAAACAAATATAAGACATCATGCATATTTTTTTGTTATGTTTGACCCTGTTGGCAAACAGGGTGCAGGACCCCAAGGATTTAAGTTAGAGGATTGAGCTGAAAGAAATTGGTACCTGCTCTGGCATTGCCAATAGTAACTTAGGGATGTAATGATGATTGTGATCAAGCATATTACCATCCTTAAAACAATTGCTTTATTTGCATAGTTCATTTCTTTGTCAGGCAGATCTACTTTCTAGACTTACTAATCTAATACTCTGATGTAAATCATAGAGTTCACTGCTGTGAATTTGGTAACTCATGCAACCTTTATGCTTGTGGTTTAGTAACTGATATATATTATTTCTTTTTAATTGGCAGCCTATCCTTGTCTATATGTCCAAGGTGGATGGGAAATTCAATTTTAGCCCAATTAGTGTTAATTTTTTGACTGAGGTTACAAAGGTTTTCTTTGCTATTGTTATGCTTCTTATCCAGGTTAAGATCACTTTCCCTTTGTCTATATTCAAATATTTTCTTTCTTTTCAATTATTTATAATTAAAGCATGTGTCTACTGAGAAGTAGATTAAGGAAGAGGCACTGGCACATATATTGAAGTAAATCAATATACAATTGTGATTTTAGTAGGAGTTGAGTCAGTGCCTTTCCCACAGGACATCCCCTAATTTTCATTCGATAAGGGTCATAAAATATTACAATTTATAGCCACACTAGAGTTGAAAGAATGATCAACATATAATTAAGAGTTAAACCTGATCAAAATACTTAAGGAACTCGATTAGTTGCCAATTGTGTCCAGCTTTGCAAGGGTATGAGTGGTTTTCAGGAAATGAAATGGGGATCGAGGGGCCAATTACTGATTGTATGGTATCTTTTGAGACTAGGATTTTAGGCTTGATGGATAATGGGGGAATTAAGCAAAGAGTAATTAATGTTTTGGAAAAATATTTCTAATGCCATTTGTGAATGAAATGCGTGGACAAGTTGATAAATTGAAGGGAAACATATTATTAGTTGTAAATGAAAGTTGGCATAGTCTTTTCACTAGGGCTCCTTAGGCACTAGAGAGTTCAAGATGATTACCTTTCACAATGAAGAAGAGGCCAATCTTTCTGAGTATGCTCATGAAACTCATTTGTTTTATGTCTGTGTAAATGGTTGGTTGATTGTGCAGGCTAGGAATCAAAAAGTTGGGGAGAAGCCTCTCCTCTCACTTTCTACATTTATGCAGGTACTATGATTTATAATATTAATTTTGCATCAATCGACAGATTTGTTAGAACCATATATTTTCTCTCTGATATAGGACATTTCTTCATTGTTTGTCATTTGCGTGGTCTAGGATTCCCTGCTTCCTGGGATTTTGAACTGGATCACTCTTAGAATGCATTTGTAGTGCAGTGTTTATTCTTACTTTTTATACAGTGAATATGGAATATGCAAGAGCATTTTGTTATAAAGTTTCTTTGCATTTTTCTTTATGTATCACCAAATATAAACAATTTCAAAATTCTAGATTGTAGCTTTTCCTGATAGTTTTGATATTTATTTTGTATCTGGTAATTTGGCCCTTGTAGGCAGCTCGTAACAATGTCCTTCTGGCAGTTCCTGCACTTCTGTATGCTATAAACAACTATCTGAAGTTTATCATGCAGGTATGTAGAATTAGCACATAAACAATGCATATATACAAGGATTGAGGCTAGAATGCTAGTCATTAGAGATCTGCCTTTTATTGTTAATATGTACTGGTTAATTTCAAGAATCAGTAACTATTTATTTTATTTTATTTTATTTTAAATATTGGGTTTTGTATTACGTGGATAGATGTTGGTAGTGCATATTTGTAGATTTACAGATGTTGGTAGTGCATATTTGTAGATTTACTTTTCCAAATTAGAAAGACAGAAACATAAAGTTGTTATAAAGGCAATAGGATTACGAATAGCATGCTAGAGTACTAGGATTACTATTTTTTACAGGTCTTGTTTTGTTAGTTATCTTATTATACTGGGATGATACTAGTAGTACTCATACTACACTAGTACTTACATTAATTATTAACATAAATACATGCTACTGCTTTGTATGATCACACACATCTATTTTCTTATCAGATTCAATATAATTCAGAGGTCTTCTCTCTTTTCCTCATTTTCTATTTATTCCCTATAATTTCAAGTGTTCAATTCATATTATAATCAGCTGATGTTGTGTAATTCATGTGTCATGTCAGATATATTTCCTTGGCTGTGGTTTAATGAATTTCCATGGCATATTATGCATTTATTTGTACCATATGTTTAATATTTAATTGAGAGTATAATAATTTTCATTAGCTTGAAAGGAACAGAAAAGAGAATCAAATCAAGTGATTCAAATTCATGACTTACCTATGATATTTCAGTCACATTTTACACATTTTAAGAAATTATTGGATCTAAGGTAACTTACGTACTCATTTCACATTTCATGCAGCTGTATTTTAATCCTGCTACTGTGAAGATGTTAAGTAATTTGAAGGTAATTTCTAGTTCATTGTGCTTTATGATTGAATATAAGTATTATTGTCTGCTAAGTAATAGCTTGCATATGCATTGCTAATGGTATATCCCTTGTGATGGCTGCTGGACACCTCTGAAGTTAACCTATTGCTTCTGCTTCATTTTACTAGTTTTGGTCCATTATTCTTAACTAAGTTTTTCTTTTCTATTTAATTCAGGATATTTTTGTATATTCGTCTGTCTGTTACTTTTTGATTTTTTTTTTAAAATTCTTTTACATTATTTTTCTGTCAATTGTTCCTTGAAACAATTCTTGATAGTAGCTTAAGTTGAATTAGTTTGTAATGGCGGACTCTTGACTTTGCATGTTTCAGGTTTTAGTAATAGCACTTTTGTTAAAGGTGATTATGAAGCGCCGGTTTTCCATCATTCAGGTTAGTGCATGAAGCTGTGTTTTGCTGTTGTATGTAAGGTGCCTTATGGCACCATTATTTTGTTCTTAATTGTTGAACCTTAGCAAGTTGTAATTCTTATATAATTTCCAATTGCTTCTCCTTATATTTTGCTAGAAATTTGATTTATTCTTTTTGCTACAGTGGGAAGCGCTTGCTCTATTGCTTATTGGTATAAGTGTTAATCAACTAAGATCTTTACCTGAAGGAACTACAGCTTTGGGTCTTCCTGTCACGATGGGTGCATATCTCTATACATTGATCTTTGTAAGTGATGCTTGTGGTTTATTCTTTTGATATATTGATATTCACTTTGGTTTTATTTAAAGATAATTTTGGTTCTGTACATTTATTTATTTAAATTCCTTTTTATTTGTTGAAATTTTAACCTGGAAATTATTTTGCAGGTCACCGTTCCATCAATGGCCTCTGTTTATAATGAGTATGCTTTGAAGAGCCAATATGATACTAGCATTTATCTGCAGGTGATGCATGCGGAGTTGCAAAAATAAAAAATCATTATTAGACTGCATTTCTATTAAGTCCTGAAAGTATGAATGCAAATTGTGTTTCTGTAAGTAATGAGAGTTTTAATTTGCTTCTGAAGCTTACTGTCCAGTGTTAAGTAGTTGGGGTTCTTCCTTTTTCATCAACAATTAATTATTGTCCAGTTATTGAAGACTTGCATTATTGCACATATACACATTAAAATTGAAATGTAATTTTACAGTTTATATTGAAAATATAATCTCGATTACTGAGGCCTGAGGCTTTGGGGATTGGCTGGGGTTCTGGGTAAAGCAACATAACTGTAAGAGGAAAATTAAGAGAAAGAAACTAACAATGATGCTCAATGACTAACTAACTACTAGAATCATTTTGTTATCCTGGAGGACAACAGATAAAGCAAAATAAAATAAATGGGTAGTTTCAAGGTGGTGCTAGGATTCTGTAACTATTTTTTTTTTTTTTTTATTGCCTATATATATTAATTCTCTATTTCTTGATTTACAGAACTTATTCTTATATGGATATGGAGCTATATTCAATTTTCTTGGGATACTTGGGACTGCTATTGTCAAAGGTGAGAGCTAAATCTCTAATTTCTGGGTTCTGTTGGGCATCATTTTAACATGGTACTAAGCTATTGAAAAACAATTTCTTCTTTATCTAATTATTTTGTAAAATAAAGCAAAAGACCTGGTTATTTTTCCCTAAAAGCTAAAATATTAATTTCAATGTTAATCTCTTTCATATTGAGCCAGATGTAATTCTAGTTTTCGAACCATGCATAAAAAGCAGCACTTAGGTCTTATTTCACAAACTAAAAGAACACGATGATCCAGTGGATTAAGCCCCTACTATCGTGTGGTTTGAAGAGGAGGGTTAGATGTATACAATTTCACCTCTGTCAGCAGAGGGATTATTTCCATCATTACAATAAATGATCAAGTTACAAGACAGCAACCTTATCGTTACACCAAGACCACCCTCTAGGTTTCCGACTGCAGCAAAAGAAAATGTGAGATGGAGTAGGCAAGCAACGAGCAGTTCTGTGCTTTGGAATACTGTATTCGTGCATTTCTGTTATAAATCATTGTGCACATTCATATAAACGAGGCAACAAATTGTCATTTTTATACATATGCCATGACTCTTTCATACAAACTGATTCCATTATTAAGTTGTGGAATCGGTGATGGTTGAATTCTGTTTGTTGATTCTAATCTCCATTGATAGAAAAACTCATTAATGCCTTTTACCTGTGGTTTATAATGTTGCTTTTTCTGATGCTCAAACTAACAGATTTTCATCTGCTCTTTTAAATTTTACAGGGCCGAGCAGCTTTGATATCCTACAAGGTCACTCAAAAGCCACAATGTTATTGATTGCAAACAATGCTGCCCAAGGGATTTTATCTTCTTTCTTCTTCAAATATGCAGGTCAATAATCAAATATATATATTTTTTATATTGCATTTATTATGATTAGAAGCTAAAACAAAATTTTGGTATAATATAATTGATCTTAAATTATATTTTGTAGATTGGCCTGCTATTTGTCCCTTTCCTCAATAACCTATTCAATATGTTGCAGATACAATTTTGAAGAAGTACTCATCAACGGTAGCAACAATCTTTACTGGCATAGCATCTGCTGTACTATTTGGACATACTTTAACAATGAACTTCGTTATTGGCATTTCTATTGTATTCATCTCAATGCATCAGGTAAGTTGAATTTGGAAGATTCTGGTTGGTAATTATGACGATATTTTTTTAAAGCCAATGACCAATGATGTTTTTGTTTTTGTATCACACTATTCACCCTTTCTTTTCAGTTCTTTTCACCACTTTCAAAAGTTAAAGATGAACAGAATGGTGTGCTGGAACTGCATGATGTTCATGACAGACAAAGGTATTTGCTAATTTCTTTACTGATCTCAAAATTTTCCTTCTGTTAGCTGAGTTGTTGATTTGGGTTTTACTTCATTTCGGGTTTCAGAGAACTCTACAATTCATATGTTTTCTCTTTTCCTTAATCGGAAGTTTCTGAAAATTTTAGTTGTTGGAGATCTCTTATTTTTTTAAACGACAACATGACAAAATCTTGAGAGAAAAAAAAATGTTTTCTTCCTTCTTTCTTTGTGATAACAAATGTCTTTCGTTCATTTTAGGTCAAAGGAATCCTTTATAAATATGGCAGCTGGAGCAAATGAGGAGGTGCGAATCTGTTATCTCCTTGTTTTTTTATTTTTAGAGTCTTATATACTTTCAACTGTTTGCTCAAGGTTTTTTTGTTAATTAATATGCATATTTCCAGGCTACTCATCGTGTGGGACATGACGAGAGACAGCCACTTCTCCCCACCTAGATTTATCTACTGTATGGTTTCTTCCCATTTTTATTGTAGATCTCTTTGAATCTCTCTTGTATTATTTTTATCCCATGCAATGCCTTTGTGTTGGAGCAAATAAAATATTATACTTTTCTCAATTCAAATATCCCACTTTTTAAAGGTTTATGACTGTTTTCATGTTATAAACAATTCAATCATTTTGTGTATATGATTGCAGGAATTTTCAATTTTTTTTGGTAACATTGGACACCCCACACAGTTTAAAGTCAAAATAAAGTTTAAAAAGAAAGTTATTTTTGCCTTTCTGGGTTAGCTTTCCTCTGATGGGATTCTCTGTACTTGGTTCATGAAGAAAGGCATGAAATCTTGACTTCAGGAGCTGCTGAAGATTTTGATAGAGCGTAGAGAATGGCTTCGCAAGAGCTTTTGGCATATCAATGTGGATTTTCTTGTACTACATTTTTTCTTTTTTTATCTTGGGACATTTTATCTCTTTTTTAATTGTTTCCTGGTATATTTACCCCATCTTGTTCTAGAACTATCGTGTTATTATTTACATTTATTACATGATTTTGCCATTTCATCTTTATGAGATTACAGATAAATAAACAAATTGAATTCCGTTGTAGATAATGAGATTTGCGTTCATATAAAACCGATAGGAAATGACATTTACATATATGTTGTTTTATGTCAGCTAATCTCCTTTAGCTGAAATAGCTCGTTATGACTAATCCCCTCTAGCTTTCTTTTCTTTTTTCTTTTTTTGGTGGTGGGGTCTAGGAAAATTCCCTTTTACGCTTGATTTGATCGTTTAGCATGTTAAGCTGGCCTATTGTTTAACCATCAATGTCAAATGTCACGCTCCAGACCAACACCACTTGAACTCCATTAATAAAGAAAAGCGTAACGTATGAATATATTTAAGAGTTTGCAGCAGATGAAATAACGTGTATTTAAGAATAGAACAATTTGGTGTTTTTACTTTGCTAGTTTTAAAATTTTCAATGCAGTAAAACGGAGTGTTTTTTTTTTTTTTTAATCATAAAAACTACAAATTTATAATGATGACAATATGTCGAAACTAAAACTCTAATTCATAGAAGTATGTGTCTAATTAGGTTGAGTTATTTTTTTTTTTGGTGTCTAATTAGATTGATTTGAACAGTTATGGACTTATACTATAGTTAGAGTGGATGATTGTTTTTAACATTTATATTTTTCTTTTTTATATATAATGGTGATTATTATTAATTATTATTTTTTAAAAAAATTGTTTCCACTAATTTAGGGTTTTAAATCTGTCACTGGTGTTAAATGTCAAACGAAACACATCCTAAGTCATCGAATAAATGTGTTGTAATTAGCAAACATATAGAAATAAATTGATGTTGACGGTAACAAAAATGAAATTTAATGAAAAATAACATTGGTTATAATCTTGCAATAATAAAGAAAATCTTATATCTCTGAGACGTATAAAACACAAAGTTTTTAAGTTATTTCTCATCAATCTTTATAAATCGAATACATTAGGATGTAATGATGAATCCCCTTTAAGATACATGAAAGCCCTTGATTTGGTTTACCAACGTGCAATCAAGCTTTATTGTCAATGATAGTTTATGTAATAATAATTTTGTGCACTCAATATAAAACAAGAAATTGGTTTGAATGTAAAGTCTGAGGTGGTTTTTTTGTTTTATTTATTTATTTATTTATAGACCATTTTATGTTTATTGGTTAAGAGATACAAGTATACAAGCTTCAAAGACATATCTCATGATTTTTAGTTAAAAGATACAACCTTTTAAAGAGATACATTCTTTCAAAAAGAATACAAACTTTCGTGAAAGAATATAACTTCTTGTACTTGCATTTTTTCATGAATAGATACATACTTTCATAAAAATAGATTTGTATTTTTCATATATAGATACATACTTTCATAAAAATAGATTTGTATTTTTCATATATAGATGCATACTTTCATGAAATGATACCTTTTATTAATATAAAAATCTGTTACAATCTCCCTTTATTTTCAAAATATATCTAAATTCTATTATTTTAAAAATAACTTGCTTTCGAATAAAAATATCTCACGATCTGAATCATTACTTAGTCAATTATGAGTTTTATTATCCTAAATAAAGTAACAGACAAACTTTGAACCAAATACTTATCAAACTAAGCCACATAACTTCCCCATGAAAATTTTTGGTATTATCAAATGTTTGAAATAAAATTCATAAGTATAATGTGAAACACACATGTATATTGAAATTATTAGTTCAGTTTGGATTGGTTAAATTTTAAAAATATTAAGCAAAATTGATTTGTTGTAAAAAGAAATCCAAAAAGAATTATTTTCATTTAATTTAATTTTTACCAAACTTAAATTTATATACATAAAAAAATAAAGGTATAATAATAGTAGTGAATAAGGGGAGGTTGCATTGGTATTTCCCTAGCCTTTGTTGGTGAGTTTGGCAAAGCGGCTGCGGCAGTTGGAAGAGAGAGAGTGGCAATGGATGAGGCAAAGCCATTTTCCAACACGACAGTGTTGAGTGCTTCTCACCTTACTCGCTCCGAACTCTTGATGCGTCGTTTCCACAACTTGAAGCGCCTTTCCAAGTGCTACAGACACCTCTACTGGGCTCTCATGGAACACTTCAAGACCCTTTACACACACTATTCTCTCAACCCTTTCAAGCTTCTCACTTGTGCCTTCCTCGGTTGCAACTTCCACCCCATGCCTCTCACTTCCTTCTGCCACTTGCACATTCTCTCCGATTCCACCCAGATGCTTTACAAGCCTTGCAATTACGTTATCAAAGGGTCTCTCTCTCTCTCTTCCCCCCTTAAGCTAATTATGCATACCATAATACATGTTTTCACATGCCACGTGAGAACTTTGGTTCCAATATCCTTTTAAAGCAAAATTTAACAAAAGGCAATTTTTTTTTTTATTTTCAAAATTTTGCTAGTATAATAGGCTGCTGGTTGGTTTAGGACTTCAGATGCCTAGGGGGGTGTATTGGATTAGGATTTTAAAGGACTTTTTTAGTTAAAAAAAATCCTGCGAATTTTAAAAGACTTTGCAGGATTTTCATGACTTTTAAGATTTTGTAGGATTCTACAAGACTTAAAATCAGGATTTTAATGGATTCTGCAAGACTTTTAAATCAGGATTTTAATGGATTTTGTGGGATTTTGTAGAATTTTCGTGGATTTTTGACATTTAATAAGATTTCAAAAATAATTTCATACATTCAAATTTAAAAAGAGTCAAAGACAAAAATAATAAAAAAAATAATGTCTAGATAAATAATAATAATAATAATTCTTCATAATATCTTATACTCTTAAATAGCATTCACCCACATATTCATAGCTATACTAGTCCTCCAAACATTAGCGTCTTTTCGCTCTTGCTCCTGGGTTTGAATAATAGGTTTAAAAGTATGATCTTCATTAACTAGTAACGTTGAAGATGAAGGTTCATCCACCACTTCAATTGGAAATTCATCAGAATTGAAATGACATTTCTCAAAATTAAGAACAAGGTTAGTCTTAATGCATCTATTCAGAACTCTATCCAAGCTATCTAAACATGCATCAAAAGAGGATCCATAAACAGTAAAATCATCCATAAACACCTCTATGCAATTTTCAAGAAAATCACTAAAAATACTAAGCATGCACCGCTGGAATGTGCCAGGGGCATTGCATAGGCCAAAGGGCATCCTCTTATAGGCAAAAATACCAAAGGGGCAGGTGAATGTGGTCTTTTCCTAATCCTCAGGAGTAATGTGAATTTGAAAGTATCTAGAGAAACCATCAAGAAAACAATAATGAGGTTTACCTGCCCGACACTCAAGCATCTAATCGATGAAGGGCAAAGGAAAATGATCTTTCCTTGTTGCTTGGTTTAGCCTCTAGTAGTCAATACAGACTCTCTAATTGTTTTGCACTCTGGTGGGTATGAGCTCATCCCTCTCATTCTTAACAATAGTGGGGCCTGTCTTCTTGGGGACCACTAGACTAGACTCACCCACTAACTGTCTGAAACATGATAGATGATCCCATCCTGTAGAAGCATGGTAACCTCCTTCTTTACCACGTCCAGAATCACCGAGTTAAGTCTCTTTTATGGTTGTCACTAGTTTAGCTCCATCCTCCAATAATATCATGTGCATGCATGTGGATGGGCTAATACCAAGAATGTCTGCCAGGGTCCAACCAATTTCCTTCTTATGCTTCCTGAGCACATGCATCAACCTCTCCTCTTGATTAGCATCAAGGGAGGTGGAAATGATCACAGGAAATCTCTCATCATCCTCCAAGTAAGCATACTTGAGGTTCTCTGGAAGAGGCTTCAACTCTGGTGTGGGTGCTAGCTGAACATTAGAAGGAATTAGAGAAGGGAGAAGGGTTTCCACAACCTATAACTTAACATGTAAGTCATATTCTTTTGTAATTCCTACAACATGGTTAATGAATTCTGACTCTATGAAATCAAGACCAATAGGTATAGCATCCAAAGTATCAAATTCAGATGCATCATCATAATCAAGATCACTTCCAAATTTAGATTTTGATTCAATGCATGAAAGAAAGTTATACAATTCAGATAAAAATGAATGTTTCTTAACATGAAAAGAATCTAAATCATGAATGTGCTCATCAATTATATCATCAATCAATTCAGCACGAAAAACAGAATGAGAATGATCTTTAGAAGGAAATTTCATGGCATACAAAATATTAAAATGAATAACAATATCACCAAATTCCATAGACAATGTGCCAGCATAAACATCAATCTTGGTGCAGGCTATTTTCAAAAATGGTCTACCTAAAATGATTGGGACAGAACCATGGGAGAATCCCTCCTCCATACCAAGAACATAAAAATCTGCGGTAAAAATAAGTTCACCAACCCGCACCGAGACATCCTCTACAAAACCTGCAGGGTGGGCAACACTTCTATTGGCCAACTGAATGACCACACCCGTAGGTTGTAGAGGTCCAAGAGACAAAGACTTAAAAATGGACAGAGGCATGACATTAATTGAAGCTCCTAAATCAAGAATGGCATTTTCAAAATTTATCCCTTTTATTACCCTTCTTTAGTTTTCTGATGGCAATGTTTGCGATTTTTGCTGATGTTGCATATTCTAGTTGTGAGATGAGATGGATTCAGCGGACACTGCAGTGTCTTTATTAAAAGTTTTTAGTGAAACCTTGCATGCTGATTTGAGAAATAAACTGGTTACATCTTTGGCCTTTTGTTTCTGTTTTTTGCAGTTGTTTGTGGGGGATGCCTGAAAACACATGTAGTTAAAGCCTTGGCTTGCCACCTTTTTCTTTCGTTTCGCATAGGAAGTGTTTTGTCTTTCAAGGATCAAATCCGTGATGTTTGGTTGAAATGGAAAGCTGGACGTTAGTTTAATCTTTTATTTATTAAACAAAGTTGTATTCATAGTGTTTCTGTATCTGTATAGGTTCATTTAAAGGTATGATATGATCTGATATGTTTCCATCCTAATTATATGAATGTTACTGCTTGATATCTTGATAAGCAATCCTTCTTTCTAACTTGTGACTTATCCATACTCTGCTTGTAACTGTTTTCACTTTTCAGTGCACAAGCTGGACCTATCACATGCGGGAAACCCATACTGAGATCCACTGTTCCAGCTCTTTGCATTGCCCACTCTCAGAAGGCTCAGAAGCATCTCACTAGGGCCTTGAAGAGGAACAGTCTCAATATTTGCTCAACAAAAGTAAAACTGTGGTTGTGAAAGAAAATGATGAAGTGGATGCAGAGATTGTCTGACACAAAAGTCCATGTTGGATAAATTAATAGAGGCAAGATGTTACTTTCATCGATTCTCTTGTATGAAAATGATTACGAGAAGGAGGATGTGGCATAATTATAAACATAAACTTGTTTGTTTATTAGCAAGAGCAGAAGGCAAGGCAGATAGAAAAATGTTACAGAGAATGGGGCCAAGGGGGAGAGTTATCCATGAATTTCTGGGACATGGAATAGCACAATTCGAGAGCGGGTAACGTGTTACAGAGCTCGGGAATCTCGTCGTAGCTGAAGCCAAATCCCAGATTTTTATCTCATTTTTTTTATTTAATCAAATTAAAATATACACTATGTAAAAGATCACCTTTAATTGTTTTTTCATCATAAAAAATGCATTTCTTATATTAGTAATTCAAGACAATTTTTAAAAATTTGCATTTTCATGTTGTCACATATAAGCTTTTGAATAAGTATTCATCTTTTTTTCTTTTTCTTAGTATTTGCACCAGGTAATGCTGGAGTTTTCACCTTTTTGTCTTTTCTACTTCCAGTACATTTTTATGTAACAGTATACAATCTTCTAAAATTGTCTTAATATACCAAAATGAAACTCAAAATATCTTCTCATATGAGTAAGAATGAGAATATGTAGGGTCTAGATAAAATATTATAGCAATCATTTCATATTTGTATTAAAAGAAAAATACTCATACTCAACTCTATATCTCATTAGTAACTTTAACCTTCATTTTTTTTTTACCATATTTACATCTGTTATCCACATATGATTACTTTAAAATTTTATTTGTATACAATATCATTGTAAAAATTTATATATATACACTAAAATTTGATTATTTTATTGAATCCTATTTATTAGTAAGACGCTGCCATATGATAAATTCTTATTAATATATATGTAAAATGTTTTACACTAAAATTATAAATTAAACTTTTATTTTACTGTTTGTACTTCTTACAATATATTTATTTTTAAAAATAAATTAAAATCTTTAATATTATTATAATCTCTATATAACTTGTCTTTTCAATATGTGTATGCGAGTGTTTCTTGCAATACCTTTAAAAATGAGAAATAAGGTTCCTGGTGAAAGCAGGTTTCTGTACCGGATATAAAATGTAAATAAATATAAAGAAATGAAACCATTTCCGAGTTAAAAGGTGGTTAGGAAGTTGACCAAACCATTATATCACAGTGTACCTGTCTAAGAGCACACTCGTAATTTTCTGGTAACTGGAAGACCGAACGAGAGTTCTGGGTGAATATTTCAGAGGGGGAAAGGTACTCCGACGCTCAAGTCAGGATAAACACGATTCTCGAGAGTAATAAATGAACAGTGACATATCTCGTTTTACGTGACTTATCCTAATCGCGCGTTTGCCCTTGTTTATCATGATCATTATCCTAATTGTTGCCTAGCTCTATCGGCCTCTGGCCGAGCCGATAGGTATAGGATTGGGGTTGCACTTCGTTCTCGACTTTTGGCCGAGCCGACAGATAGAGGGTTGATCTGATTTTCATTCTCGGCCTTTGACCGAGTCGAGGAGATGTTGAGGGGGCAGAACTCATTGTTCTTGATGTTTGGCCTTACCGGTCGCCGACCATGTCGAGGTGTGACTAAGCGGGGTTCTCTCTCGATTTCGGCCATTTGCCGAGCCAAGAAGTTGGTAAAAAGGATACCCAATAACATTGTCTTGGCTGAGCCATTAATGACCTTGCAGGTTTGTTATTACGGCCATAATCGTGTTCGAGATTCGTGTCGGTGACTGATAGGGCACCACGTATCGATCTACATTGACCGATACTAATCCCTCCGGTACACATAGCATATTAGTTGAGTTTTTAAAACAAATGTATGAGCAGAGCGAAAACGCATATAATTTAGAAAGAATAAAAAGAAGCATATTCGATTAGAAAAAGGTGATTAGGAAATGGACTAAAGTGTTTGTGTATTGTGTACACTTGCACGACCAAACTTTGGAGAATAGCATACATTAGAAAGCAACATATCTTTTGCAATTTGCATTAATTGTGTCTGATTCGAGACAAGGAGAATGAAAGCCTCTTGAATTTGTCTGATTGGTATTGAACATGTGGGTCTGTATGAAATTCAGTTACTGAAGATAATTTGTAAGTTTGTGCATGCATATATATATATATATATATATGAATATTAAATGAAATGAATTGCAATGTTTGTTCTTTTTGGTTGAAGCTAGAACATTTCTTCTTTCAGAAACAGGAGGAATACATGATAAGGTGAAGTTCTCTACGATAAAGAAAAGGATAAAGGTTCCCCAAACTGAATCACATACCATAAAATGCGGTGCCAAATTAATAATCTTTCTAGTTGTATCATCCCTACTTTTCAATTGCTGCACGTGAAACGCAACGTTGAGGGAGAGATTTGAATCCCATCTTCGATATCAAATAAATAGTTATAAAAAAAAACTCAAGTTCCACATTGATTAGAGATTAGGCAATTAAATAGTATATAAGTAAAAAATAATCCTCATCTTATAAGCCGGTTTTGTAAGATTGAATTAGACTCAAATTTACTATTCAAAGATGGTATCATATCTATCCTAGATTCTTAAAAATGACTCACACATAATTGAAGCATGCAAAAAACTCAATTCCTGTCAATCTTATATCATTAAAAAGGGTCACCTACCATTTATTCACGTATCCACGTACCAAGCCCAATAATACTGGATGTCAGGGGATGTATTGGAAAAAATCTAAGTTCTATGGAAAACAACCCTTACTTTACAACAAGTTAGTTTTGTAGATTAAGTTAGGTTCAAATCTATTATTCTAAGAATAGTTAAAAAAATTGTTTATTTTATATTTGTTGATATTTTCAATAAGAATTAGATACTAATTATTTTGATAGTTAGGTAAGATATTATTATCACACTAGATATTATTACAGAAAACTATTATGTGTATTATTATAGATAAAGTTAGATGAGATATCATCTTTAAGACATATATTTATAATAAATTTTATATGTAATGATTTTCTTCTTCTATAAATGAAGGATTATATTTAATATTTGACAAATTTTGAATGAAATAAACTTTTTCTAAAAACTTGAAATATATTGTTCATATTTTTAAGTACCTACATAAATATAAACATGTTCATATTTGGTTATAATGAGTATCATAATTAAAAAAAAAATCATTACATCATATATCTCTAGGATTGGATCTTAATTATAAAGAATATATTGGAAATTAAAAAAGAATTACACAGGCTACGTATGAAGATTTTAGTTTCAAGGAATTAACGATGCTGACTGAAATAGAAAGAAATTCATTATATCTATATAAGGCTTTATACACTATTTAAATCATTATAATTCTTATAAATAAAAAAATATAATATTTATATTTAAAGTTTAATTTAACATAATTTACAAATTTTATTTTATATTATTTTTATTTACTATAAAAGTATCGATCAAAGTTTTAGAATGAGAATTCTATTATTTAACTCTTAATATATAAAATGTAAGGGTATTTATAGATTCACGAGTTCATCGAGTCAATTCAATCGATGAATACTATTAATAAAATAATAAATTCATTTCAATTTTTTTTTTTATAGATATTGCAATAAGTGAGCTTTGATTGATCATTACCACCGTAGTTGCAAGTGCAGTTGCATTTGCGTTTGTTGAGTATCAAATAAGATTTGAATGAATAGTTTGCTCTCTTTTTTTTACTATACGGGTTTAATTGTGGATTAACAATCATTACTTAAAAATCATTTTTAGAGTGAATCTCAAGAGAGTATTGAAATGTCAAATTTTTCACATGTGGTGATATGTATAAATGAATAATAATATAAAACTTTATTATACTGCATTTTAATTAAATGATATATTAATTAAATGACAACTATTCTCAAATTTAAAGATATATTATATTTTTGAATTGATCAAATTGAATCAATTGAACAAATGAAGAGATAGAATGTAACAAAAAATAAATGAAATAGAAAGAGAAAAAAAAAAGAATTAAATACGGAATTTAAAAAAGAAATACTTGTCAGTTTTCAAAAGTTTTTTCGTGAAAGAAGGGCTGAATTTATATTCTTCGTGAGTGAACTGAAGACGATAGAATGTTTGTAATTGCATTAAGCTATTTTATAGAGAGAGAGAGAGAAAAAAGATATAAAATAATAAAATGAAATATAAATTATAGAAGAACAATATATTGTTACGAGCTATTCTTTGTAATAGGAAGTATGTATTTTCATTTCATTGTCTATGATTGATGTTATAATAAGGAGGTAATGGTAGTTGTTTCTTATAAATCCATGTCTATCTTTTTTTTTAAATGATATAAGATTTTGTTTGTAAAATTAGGGTGTAATATTGTAGAATTTATTATCGTATAATATAAGTAAAGTATAAGATTAAGAAAGTAATAGCCAGAATGATTGATAAAGAAAATAAATAGAAATTGCATTGGTATATATTGATGGTATGAATTGTATTATTGGTGGTAATGAGAAGGACAAGAACAGGCCAACAACCCACGTGCCCAGCCCCATCACTCAATAATCCTACTCACCCTTTTATTTAACTTTCTTTAGTATTCATACTTTTTTATTTTCTTATATTATTTATTTATCGATAAATATTGACATTATTCACTATACAAACCCAATCATCTGTTTTAGACACACTTTTCTTATACCCTTTACTTTCCAAATAATTTTATAACAATCACTTTTTATCAACAAAATATATTAAAAAAAAGCCCACAAGAGTTGGATTTAGTTAAAAGGATTACTTTCTTAAAAAGTCACAACCACTATCGAATTCTTGCTTTTCGGGACTATTTATCAGTGTTTTTAAGAAAAATACCTTGTAATTAGAATATATGTTTCTTTTAAATATATTATTATAATTGTCTAACAGAAAACTATTACAATCGTACAAGTTTTAAAGAAAATAAAAATTTAATGCTTTTTTAAAATATAAAAAAATTTAATATATTACATTCTTTTTTAAAAAAAGCTTTAAAATGATACATTATTAATATCACAATTTAATTAAAAATAAGGTTTTAATAAACTAATAAAACGATATATAGAAATCTAACGTTTTGGCCACTGAGTATTTTGATTTTTGGCATTGTAAAATTAGTTTCATATATATTTTTCAATAAAAGACATGTGTTCTTTTTAATATAAATCAATATAAAAAAATATTCTTACTTAACTTTAATTAAAATTTCAAAGAATCCTTGACATATATTCCATTGAGTTGATGGGGTAAACATATAAAGCAAGTGAGAACAAATGTGAATAGGACCTACCAAGCTTGTACTTGTAGGGACTATTATTATAACTGTGGGACCCTATCGATTGTTCCATTTCCATATTATATTCCCACTATGCATTCTCTAATGCCATTTTTATTTTCAATTTTGACTTTTTTTATTCAAAAAATTAATATTCAAATGCTTCCCATTGTTGGCAAGCACGACTTCTCCACATATCATCATATTATTTCCTCTATTTTTATTATATTTTATTTTGTTCACATCAAATAATTATTAAAATGATATTAGTCACATAATATACTGTTCAATGGATGTTAGGAGAGAAGTGGAATTGCCACTAAAATCTTCGTGTTAACTGTTGCGTGGGACGACCTCATAAATATGCTACATTGCTACTTATAAATTATTATGTACAAAAATATGTTCCTCACGGAAAAAACAAACAAAGAAAATAAATTCTTATAATCATTTTTTTTTAGTTTATAAGGATTTTTGCCTGTGTAACTAAGCTATAATTTGATATTTAAATGTCCATTTCTAAGTTAATTGTGTAGAAAAATATGAAGTCATTTTGGTAAAACATACGTCGATAACATTGTAATTATAAAAAAGTTTTTTTTTTCTTTGTTCATGTTTATCCCCTTTTCTATTAATTAAAAATAATTCATAATATTTATACATAAAGTATTTCATACTAAATAAAAATAACGCTCCTAAAAGAGAAAGAAATATGTAATGTTCTCTAGCAACATCTTAATGATTTCCTTAATATTTTATAATAAAAAAGGTATTAAATGAAAAACTTTAACCACATTACAAAAATTAATATTGGACAATTAAAAGAAAGTAATAAACTAAACAATTAAGAGACAAAATGTTAGTATGAGAAAGAGCAATGGGAATAATAAAGATTTGTTCTAAAATAAATTATTGAAAGATTTACAATAATTCAGTGACAAATAAGATTACTACATTTATGAAACGGATAAGTAAGTAGTTACACGTGAAATTGAGCGTGTCAAATGTATTCACACACCACATGAAAATGGACACGTGTTTTAAGTGTATTAATTAATAACCTACTTTTCTTGATAACGTCATGCATGATGAGCTTCAAATTAATGAATCCCGTTACGTGATCATGTTTTGCTATAGACACTGACACAAACAAAAAGGCACCATCTTATTATCGTTCAAAACAGACGAAAACTAATTACTTCATGTCGATTTTGGCTCCATTGATTACATATTGAAGAAAACAGAAAAGAACCCTCTTTTCTTTATGTTGGAATATTACAAGACTATGTTTTTAATACAATGTCCACGTTGCAATGTTGCAACACATTACACACCACACTCCGCATTCGCAATGGTTTGAAATAAAAGAGGTGTAGTGCAAATTTGTGGCATCCAAACTAATATACAATGCCTAAAACAATAATTTGTGATCACTTTACAGCATAACATGAATCATTGCATAACAACATATAGACATGTCTCCTTGGTTTTAATTCTCAAGAAGACTTTGAGCATCAGGATTAATGCCCCAAGCTCTCTCCTTCCATAACAGCTCCACTTCATCAAATGTCAATCCCTTGGTTTCAGGAACATAGACAAGCACAAACACAAATGCAAGCACAGCTATAAAAGCAATAATTAAGAAAGTAGGACCAGTTCCTACAGCATCAGCAACAGACAGAAAGGACTGTGCCACAATCAGATTTGAGACCCAATTCACAGTAGCAGACATGCCTCCACATATTCCTCTGTATTCTTCAGGGTATACCTCTGAGTTAACTGTCCAAGGCACAGGTCCCATACCCGGGGAGAAGAAAGCAATGTATAGGGCCAAACCAAGAACTGCAAGCCATCCATACAAACCACTTCCACTTCCAGATGATTGGTTAAAGAATGACAAGGCCAAGATTATCAGAGATGCTATTACCCCTCCTAAGCTAAATAAAGCCAATTTTCTCCGCCCTGCATGGTCAATAAGGTAAATGCCGAGAACTGTTCCAGTGGCATTCAAGCCCGCAACTATGAGAGAGAGGAGAATAGCCAACTCATTTGAGTGAAAGCCCGCCATTTGGACAATCGTTGGGCTGTAGTACATTACTGTGTTTATGCCTGTGAATTGCTGAAAAGCCTGTACAACCATGGGATGCCATAATGTGACATTGTGGCCAAATAATTTACTTTACATTTAAAGTATAGGACAAAATTTCTCAATATGCCTCCAAAATCATGGTATGGCTTGATCACAGATATATTGTATTCAATAACTGCCAACAGGCAAAGAATAATGAAACCACAAAGATGACATGTAATATTTTCTCTCACATCAAACAAACCATAATTCAACCAATGAGGCTCAAGATGTTAATTTATCATAATCAAACAGGACAGTCAGCTGAAAGCTGTAAATTTAGCATTTAAGAAAAATAAGTTAATCATGTTACCAACCCAAGCTTAAGCAAATGATACAGTTCAGTGCTTTCCAACAATAAAAGCATTGCCTTTTATTTTTTTAATTTTTTTTTCTATTTATGGAAAAGATTACTAAAGAAAAAAGTTTAAGTTATGCATGCATATTTACAAAAAAACATAATCCAAGCAAAAACCAACATGAGAAAAGAAAGGACCATGTAAGACTCACACACTAACGTAGTCTTAACTCTTATGTCTCTTATGCATATCAACCTTTTAATAGCACAAAGCTCCTTCCAACGTGAGAAAAGTTATGTTTTGTAACAACATTGCCTCTAAGAATAGACTTTTTCTTACCTGCAATCCACCTCCAGCAAGGAATGCAAGTCTAATTTCTTTTGATTTAAAAACATCCCGATATCTGATATCTTTCCTTTTATGGCAGTCGTTCTCTGACTGAGTTGTAAGTAAAGCAACTTCATCCTCTAAACGGGCTATGTCATAGATATTAGCTAGCACAGCAACGGCTTCCTCATTCCTATTCTGCACATGAAGGAAAATAATTATATTTAAGAAATAGCTTTTGCCTTTCGGAGGTAAACATAGAAATATCTATACAACCTTCATAAAGAGCCATCTGGGGGATTCAGGCAGTAAGAGCATGAGGAAAAACTGTACTACTGCTGGCACACCTGAAGCTCCCAGCATCCACCGCCACGTCCCAGGGACCTGCTTATCAAGAATACGAGTAGTCATTGAAATAACACCCTAAACTTTGAAACAGGAACATGAAATTTTAATTTCCACTTATAATGAACTCTGCTTTGCCCATTTTCCTTCCATATATAGAGGGGGAAAAGATGTTCACATGATGCTCATTCTATAAGAAAATGGATGGGGGAAATGTTGGTTCTAGAACAAGAAGAAAAAAAAAGACAAGAAAAGATCCTATGCAAGAACAAACCAAAAACATAGAAATGAGAATACCTAACAAGAACGTAAAATCGTAAACGCAGAACAAACACAATAGCAAAAACGAAAAAAATTGAGAAAAGAGAACACAACAGATTTATAATGTTCAACCAATTTAGCCTACATCCATGGGAGAGAGCAAATTCCACTATCTAAAAACCAAGATCAAGTCTTTACAACATAGCAACTTCTTGCTCTTCTCATAAACCCTTTGATCTCTTTAATTGGTTCTCCTTTCCTCTGTACATAGCTTCTTTCAATTAGGACAGTTTGTTGAGGATTATGGGCTATAATCTTATGCCTTTTAATTCTTTGTTTTGTACAAAACTCATTAAATTGCTCTGAAACAAACTTCAAGCTAGTGTTAGTCCTTAAAACCTTTAGTTTAGTTCCTATTTTCTTTTGGATTCCTTGCTTGCTTTCTCAGGACAATCTCTCTTGCAATGACCAGTTTTGCGATAGATATAACATCTACGCTTAAACTCGGTATTGCTTTTCCATTTTGATGTAGACTTCTTTCCCTTTGGTCATTTCTTCTCACTCTTCCCCTTTGAGACGTTCAAGCCTTCACCATTATCCTTTGTCTTCAACTCTTGCTTATTTTGAAGTTCTTTAGTTCGAATTGGGGCCTAAAACTCATCCAAGGTCATGACTTGATTTTTGCCATACATAATAGCATCCTTGAAATTCTCAAAGGATTTCAATAAAGAGTGAATAGGAGCAAAGTTTTATCCTCATTTTCAAGCTTCACCTCAATGTTTTCCAAGTCATCAAAAATCTTGTTAAAATCTTCAAGTTGTTCTTGAACCGATCTTGTTTGTGTCATCTTGAAAGAGTAAAGTTGTTGCTTCAAACATAATCGATTTGCCCAAGACTTTGTCATGTATAAAGATTTTAGTTTGACCCACATGGCAACAACTATCTTTTCTCTTGTAACCCCCCTCAGGGCTTTATCACCAAGATACAAGATTATAACACTCCTTGCCTTATCAATCATCTCTTTCTCCTTCCGCAATAATGAATCTGACATTTTCACTTCACCCTTTGGAGCTTTTGCAACTCCCTGTTACACCAAGATAACTTCTATCTTTATCTTCCATAACCCAAAATCATTGTTCCCTAAAAACTTCTCGATATCATATTTGATTGTTCCCATGATTCAACCTTTCTTTTTCTTTCTTCTCCCCGCAGACGATGCCACTTATTGGTTCTAAAACAAGAAAGAAAACAAACAAGAACAAACCTTATGCAAGAACAGACCAAAAACGTAAAAATGAGAATATCCAACAAGAATGTAAAATCGTAAACGCAAAAAAAAAATGCATTAGCAAAAATGAAAAAGATTGAGAGAAAAAACACAATAGATTTACGTAGTTTAGCCAATTTGGCCAACATCCACTGAAGAAAGCAAATTTCACTATTTGAAAACTAAGATCAAATCTTTGCAAAAGAGTGACCTCTTACTCTTCTTAGGAACTCATTGATCTCTCTAAATAGTTCTCTTTTTCTCTCTACGCATCTTTTTCCTAGTTCTCCGTGCTCACACTTTGCACTTTACTCTCACACTTTCTCTCTCCATGTCACTCTTAGAAAAGATCCACAAACACACACACACACATATATATTCAAGACACTAAGACTAAGTTTTATAAAACAGAACAGATTGAATCCATCAAATTAATGAAGATAGACTATGTATAGTTTGAATCCATCAAATGAATGAAGGCAGACTAAATGTATAGTCTAAACCAATCAAATGAATGGAAACAAACTAAACCTATAAGACTATACAAATGAAAGGCTTTGCAGAGCATATAGATGATACATTAAATTTTGAGTCATCATCAACAGGAAATAAAAAGAAACACTAATTAATTAACAGAAAGGAAGAATGATGAAGTTCAAACCACAGGCGGAAAAATGAATGCATGTACGAAACTGAATTTTACCCTTTGTTGTGCGGGAACTTGTTAAATGGGATATAGAACTATGCTGGATAATTGATATTATTGCAATTTAATGAAACGGCAATAAAAAAGGCAAAGTATGGAAAATTGACCTGTGTAAAAGCAAGATTTGTGAGATAAGAAAGAAACTGTCCACCAGTTATCATAAGCACATTTGTGCTTACTAATGCTCCCCTTATTTCTGATGGTGACAATTCTGCGATATAAACAGGTGCAGTAACAGAAGCTATACCCACACCCAAACCAACTAAAACGCGGCCAAGGATGAGAACATAAGGATCTGGTGCAGCAGCCATAACAATTGCTCCCAGAGTAAAGATAACATCCGCAATGATGGTTGCCTTCTTCCTTCCAAATGCATCATTAATCCAACCACCTACTGCTGCCCCAACAATTGCACCAGCCCCTGCCATGCTAACAATTGTTTCCTGAAACTCGTATAATTGCAAAATCCAATGAGAAATTTTATTTTGGGTAAAATGCAAATTAGTTCGTTGTTGTTTCACCCATTTTAATTTTCATATATAAATTTCATTTTCTGACGCATAGCTGGCTTAAAGTTTAGTTCAGAATGAAAACTTAATGTTTTGAGTCAACTTTAATGCTCCTTCCTTGCCCATGCAAACTCCGGTTAGATCATCCTTCTTCTCCAAACCCACCATGTTGCAGAAAGCTGAGTTCTGGAATCTGACTTATTATTTGTGTCTCCATGTCATCTTAAATGGTTAGCAGCAATCACTATGAGAAACCAGCACCATTCTCTTCATCCATATTCCGCTCAAGTGTCGGCAGAAATAGCAAAATCTCTAAAACAGATCAGAGAACTGACTCGAGCCTTAACCTTAGCATCTCTCCTTTTTCTCAACCTGAATTACCATTTAATTCAACTCTGACACAGGGACGGATGCAGGAAAAAGGTTGCCCGGGAGTGTGGGGAACAGATGAAATATTACGAAGCATTTTCAACTCTTTAGACTAATAAATTATTATATATAGACATGTTCACATTCACAAAATATGGAAAGCTTCTTTCAATAAGGAAAAACACAGATTACTAAATCAGTCTTATGTATAATGACAGAACATAAACTTTCAAGAAAAAAATCTTAATCTAAATGTCACTTGATTAACTTCCCCCTTCAACCTACTTCCTTCTAAGGAAAATGAGCAAGAATAAAATCACACAATGGAATGATAAAAAAAAAAAAAAAAAAAAATTGGGTCTAGTAGTCCTTTTTCATTTAACAATTTAAAATTTATTTGACTTTTCAGTTTCTTTGGAGAGAAATGATGAAAATAAAAAAGGAAAATCAATGAATCACAACAGTATCGTGTGATTCATATTGGTGATAATGAATGGCACTAATTCAGGCATTTGATAGATTGATGGTTGAATAAGTACCTGTAGAAAATGACTGTGTTTGACGGCAGGGAAATCATCCTTGATATAAAGAAGGGCTCCTGATATAACACCTGTGTCATAGCCAAAGAGCAATCCGCCAATGCTGGCAACAGCAGTGAGACCCATAACATAAGGGTTTCTAAAGGCAGAGACTTTCCTCTCAGGGTACATGTCCAGATACCCGGAGCTTCCCGGAATGGAATTGGTCATTGTTAGTGGTGAAACTGAAACCAAATCAACACTTTCGCAATGGCTTCGGAAAATTTCATCAAACTTGTTTCCCAACCCAACCATTATATGCTATGGTCCCCATCGCATGATTATGAGTGAGGATCTGACCACCACACTCTCACGCTTCAAAACCTTGTAATCAAACCATTTCTGTTAACCAAACTCTTCCAAAGAGGATATTGTTTTTTAAAGGATATTTTAAGAAAATAAATGGGAATTTTTATTAACATTTTTAAGATTTCCAAATGTGAATGTTTCGAACGAAGCTAAAAGCTAATAAGAATGTTAAGTTTCAAACTTCACTCCACTTTTCAAATCCTAAAATTATTAATATAATATTGAAAATTAATTATAAAAATAATTTATTTTTTATGTGATGTAAAAAGTTTTAGATAAATGGGAGTCTAATTTTTTTTTTTCCTATCACCAATCTCTTTCAATCCACCATAAGACACTATATGATAAAGCGGAGTTTGGTAGCACGATGTTTTAAATTTTTTTAAATCAACATGGATTAGAAGATACTATAGAAAAAGATTAGCCTTTGTATTTGATATTGTTTTTAAATTTTTGAAATCAAATTATATGATTTTTTTCATTATATTTAATATTTGTAAAACTTTTAAAAATGATTAATCTTTATTCGACTTTTATAATAAAAATAAATAAAATTTTATATATACAAAAATTATTTAAAAAAATTATATATATGAATCAATGAATATTTTAAATAATTGATATATACTTACTTTATATAATACAATGTTTTTCTTCATTAAATTTTATATATGACAATTTTTGTTTAGAAGATTGTATAAAAACTCATAAACTATTATTTCTTATAAAAATATTAAGTCTTTCATACATTATTATTATTATTATTATTATTATTATTATTATTATTATTATAATATATGATCGGATTAGGTCGGGTAACATGATAGAAATATAAAATCTATTATCTGAGATGTATAGTGTCAAATTTTGATCGGATTAGATTAAGTCTAACTTAAATACTAAAAAAATTTAATCTAAACTCATTAGGTTAATTTGAATTAGTTAGGATTCACGGACTATTTATACTTGTTTACATCTCTAATTCTAATTTTTATTCTATATAAAATCACTGATCTATAATTTTAGTCCTTAAAACAAGAAGTTGTTTAATTTTTGTCATTCAAAGATTAAAATAATTATTTTTATATTAATTATTATGTGATATTACTAATGTGTTTGACAAATAATTATATTAAGAAAAAGAAAAGCAATACGGTGTCGTTGGATTAGGGTTGTGCATAGGCAGACTAAGGCAGAAAGACAGTGATGATCGGAAGTGTTGTGCGCGCAACTTGGCTCCTCCGACTGTGAGTGTCCGTGGTGCTTAGAGCAACAGCCACAATAAGGCACGAGGGCCCTTGATTCCCACATAAGCTATCTCTTTTCAACCTAAATCCTGCGAATCACGATTCAACAACCTTTCTGTTTTACAAATATATACTCTTCAATATATACTTTTCCTGCTTATTTCCTCATTACAACTTAATTCTCATCTTCCTATATTCATTTTTACAACACAGATTCATACCTCTCTTCTCCCTTCCTGCGGCAATACAAGGTGCGTTTGGAAGATTCGCAATCCCATCCCATCTTAATCATCTTATTGCAATGTTTTTCACTTTTATCTGCATTAATATCTGGGCTACTATAACATACTTAGCTACAGCCATGTGGATTAGGGAAACATAATAGTCACCATACCAAACAGGGTGTGGAACTGGAGAACACCCATGTCACATTTCTTTGATTCTAAGACTGCTAATACCAAATTGATTGCTTTTAATTAGTCTCTCTTTTGAAAATAAAATATCCTAGCAAAATAAAATTAGCCTTGTATGTAGATTTATGAAACTTAAGATAGAACCTCCATATGATAACTTCAATGATATGAATGACACTTTATGTATAGTGCTACTTTCATATGATTGAAGAATAAGAACCCAGACTTAAACATATTGTTGTAGGGACGTGTAAATAGTTTAGATCTTTTTCTGTTACCAAAGAATACAGTGCATTTTGGTTACTCATGCTGTCAAGCACACTGGTTTATCAAAATCTTTTCCAAGCTACAACATCGTTCATCAAATAAAGCGGTGAAATAATAAAAAATTCTACTTAATCTCTACTTTGGTCATAGCATGCATTAACATCTCTCACAAATGGTACATTAAACACATTGTTGTTGCCTTTCACACTTTGATAGAAGATACTGATGTTTGTTACTACAATATTTAAAAAATACTTACTGCCAGTGCTAACTTCATTAGAAAAATCTCGAATTGAACAAGGTCTCTTCACTGAGCTTTCAGTTAATCAACAACCATTTAACATTTGAATTAATGGTTGCAAGCTCCATGACTTGCACCTTAGATATATGAGAAATCTTTTCCTTATCATAATCTCCTGTCTACATATTAAATACATGAATACCTTTTAATGATCACATGACAATACATTAGTATGAGCAGCTTCTTTAAGTTTTGATCTTGCCGCTACTGATTCATTCTATATTTGACCAATGTATTCTGTTTGTTAGTTGTTTTCACTGTATTTGATTTTTCCAATGCTATTATGTGTGTTTCAGGTAGGGTCTTTATCACATAGGAAACAACATGAATTTTGCAGCATCATTGTGCAGAAGACTGAATATCAAGGAACTTGTGACAAATGTTCCTGTTTACAGAAGTGCTGGTGGTATATCATAACTTCATGATCCTATATTGGCTACTGTATTATAACTTTCAAAAGTAAGCTAGACTAATGGTTTTTTGACACACTATTCTAGATGTTTCTGGAGATGGATTGAGTTTGGTGTTCAGGCGTTGGGCTACCAAAAAGACTGCTGGTTCCACAAAGAATGGACGTGATTCAAAACCCAAGAACCTTGGAGTGAAGAAATTTGGTGGGGAGGTATTTGTATAATTCGATCAGCAAGAGTATTAATCTTAGGATGTTCTGAATATGGTTCATTAACGCAGGACGTGACTCTTTTCTTACTATGCAGATGGTGATACCTGGAAATATCATTGTTAGACAACGTGGCACTCGTTTTCATCCAGGAAACTATGTCGGACTCGGGAAAGATCATACTCTGTTTGCGTTGAAAGAGGGTTGGGTGAAGTTTGAAAAGAACAAGCTGACTGGTCGGAAGTGGGTTCATGTTGAGCCTAAGGAAGGTCATGTCCTCCACCCTTTGTATGCAGATGCTTCTGCATCTGAGCCAAACGTTGCTATCTAAGTCTCGCCGATGACAAAATTCAGCTTACTTTCTCAGTTTCTTGCCTATGGTTTAGGTGAATTCCTAGATGTTCTTCCTATGCCTTAATTATACCATCTTTAATTGAAAAACGGGTCAGTTCTTTTGGTTAGTTATCGGATAAAATATGCTTTTGATTTTTCAAAATATCTCGAAACTCAGTTTTAATATATCTATCTATAATATCTACTTATTAAAACTGATGTGGATTTAGCCGTAAAAAAAAACTGATGTGGTTTTAATCTATTATTAGGGAATAAAAAAGTAGAAATTTAAAAAAAATGTTAAAATTTTAAATCTTGATTTTGTAAAGAATTTAAGTATAAAGGGCTTGTACAGTATCAAATATTTATATCAGACAGGGTTGTTCCATTTGTTACATCTAATATTATGACGATTTGTGTGAAGTATGAAGGAAAACCGAACAAATAATATTTTTCAGAAAACGACAGTCAATAATTTTGTAGTTATAATCCTAACTTTCCCAGCTTTTGATGCGGACTAGTGTTTCATAATGTATAGACAAGTCTGTGTGTTCGTGGTGCGTGTTTCTAAGGATCTTAAATATTCTTCCAATATGCTAATGTACATACATTTTTATGATGATAAAATGTACAAAAAATAGATTAGGTTGTCCATATTGAAATTTAAGGGAGGGGGGGTGTGTCAATGTGAGAGTTTTCTTTACTTAAAACTTTGCCCTCTTGTTACATTACAGTTTCCAAATAATAAACGAAGTGATACTTATGTATGATATGAGACATAGGACAGGTAGGAATAAGTTTTTTTTTAACAAATTGGTTTCTTTTTCTTTCTTCAAAATTGATTTTTTAAGTACAACAAGAATAATAAAACTATCTTCTGTTTTTTTTTTTTTAGTTATTTAACAATCATAAAATTTTAATGCATACTTTTTAATTTAAAAAGGCTTAAAAATCGGTATTAATAAATGACAGTAGTATATTTTCGTTATAAGAAAATGACGTTACATGTAAAATCATGGTGTCTTTAAATTGTAACAATCCTCGGAAAGCAATAAAAGCATAGCGTGTCCTTTCTTTCTCTTCTGAAACGAAACCATAGAATCTGGGTCATGAACTTTTCTGGGGAATCTTCAAAAATTCCCCGCTTGATACCCTCTCTAAAAAATAACATAATTTAAATTGAAACATACCCATTACTCATTGCTAATCGATTGAGAAATGGCGAACATTATCGTTGTTCCCCAATTTAATTCAGTGGGTGTGAGTAACGTAACAGAGGATTTAGATTAGGATTGGGGTTTGTTGCATAATTAAATTAATTAAGGAGAATGACGATAACTAATATACAACCGACGCCAGGAAGCTCAGGGTATTTGGATTTGTATCCTGAACGCAAAATGTCCTTTTTTAAGAATCCTTACATTCTGGGACTCACTACTGTCGCTGGCATCGGGGGAATGCTTTTTGGCTACGACACAGGTACATTATCCTTAACATGTTACTAGTGTTTTATTTCAACAAAAACTTGTCTCCACTATTCTTCTGCTTGATTTCAAAAGTTAATAATTTTTAATTATATGATAATTCATAATTTGATGAATGTGTAAAAATGTTTACAATTTCTTCCAATTAAGTTCAAAAAGTAATTGCCTTCTTTGAAAAATTTAGCATGCATTTATAAGTACTTTGAAACGGGAGGATTTAAAATGCCTTCTTTGAACAATAGCATGCATTTATAAGAACTTTGAAAAATGTCTCTCTCCTTATTTCTAACAAAGACATCTTTGGATAAACTTCTCTAGAAATATTTATAACTGAAGAAAATAATTTTTTTCATAAGATAAATTATTTGTAAAAAAAATTTCCAATTGGTTACTTCAAAATTTTATTTTGTTTTTAGCAAGCTAATATAAAATTTGTGGCATCACAGGTGTCATATCAGGAGCCCTTCTATATATTAAAGATGATTTTGAAGCGGTTAGACAAAGTAATTTTCTTCAGGTAGAATATAGTAGTTGGGTTATTGGCATGAATGAAGTTAAATATGCATTGTATTGTAAGAAATTGAGTTGGCATGCAGGAAACAATAGTGAGCATGGCAATTGCTGGTGCAATAATAGGAGCAGCAACAGGTGGATGGATTAATGATGCTTATGGAAGAAAGAAAGCCACTCTGGTCGCTGATGTTATCTTCATAATTGGAGCAATTGGCATGGCTGCTGCACCAGACCCTAATGTTCTCATTTTGGGACGTTTTCTCGTTGGTTTGGGTGTGGGTGTTGCCTCTGTTACTGCTCCTGTCTACATTGCAGAAGCATCCCCCTCCGAAATAAGAGGTTCATTAGTAAGCACCAATGTTCTCATGATCACTGCTGGACAGTTTCTTTCCTACGTCGTAAACCTTGCTTTTACAAGGGTAATATATTCATTGTCCTTCTTACTTAATAATCAAACATATATAATTCTCTTATTAATTCTATTCAACCAGGTTCGTGGCACATGGCGATGGATGCTGGGAGTTTCAGCCGTGCCAGCAATAGTTCAGTTTTTTCTCATGCTTTGCCTACCCGAATCCCCAAGATGGCTCTTCATGAAGGTTCAAACTTCAAACCCACTATACATCATTCCTCTGCTATATGCATGACATGTTTCGTTTTATGCAGAATAGGAAAAATGAAGCTGTTGATATACTCTCCAAGATCTATGACTTGGGTCGCTTAGAGGACGAAGTTGATTTTCTAACCACTCTGTCAGAGCAAGAGCGCCAAAAACGAAAGAACATCAGATTAAGGGATGTCTTCAAATCTAAAGAAATCAGACTCGCATTCCTTGTTGGAGCTGGACTGCAGGTAAAATATGTATACATCAACTTGGAGGCTGTTACAAATCATAGTAAATGGATGGACCTTTGTGAAGTGTGATTACATGCATGCAAGTTAGAAGATAAGTAACATATTAACATGTGATGCCATGATGGTTGTGTTGTGCAGGCTTTCCAGCAGTTTACAGGAATAAACACAGTGATGTACTACAGCCCCACCATTGTCCAAATGGCTGGGTTCCACTCGAATGAGTTAGCTCTTCAGCTGTCCCTCATAGTTGCTGGCATGAATGCTGTGGGAACAGTTCTTGGCATTTATCTAATTGATCATGCAGGTCGCAAAAAGTTGGCACTTTCGAGCTTGGGGGGAGTATTTGCATCTTTGGTGATTTTGTCAGTCTCATTCTTAAACCAATCATCATCAAGTGAAGTATTTGGATGGCTTGCAGTGGTGGGATTGGTTCTATACATATCATTTTTCTCTCCAGGGATGGGGCCTGTGCCTTGGACTGTGAACTCAGAGATATATCCTGAGGAGTATAGAGGAATTTGTGGAGGCATGTCAGCCACTGTGTGTTGGATCTCAAACTTGATTGTGTCTCAGAGCTTTCTTTCAATTGCTGAAGCTATAGGGACAGGTTACACTTTCTTGATTCTTGCTGCTATCTCTGTGCTTGCCTTTGTGTTTGTGCTGTTCTGTGTTCCAGAGACTAAGGGATTGACCTTTCATGAAGTGGAACTCATATGGAAGGAGAGAGCTTGGGGCGAGACCACTGACTCTAGAAACCTTCTTGCTCAGGGAACACAAAATCAATCTTAGCCATTTCTTACTTTCATCTACACATTAACATTATCCCACATTTTATTGTACATTCATGTTTATGATATTATTATCATATACTTCCATTATCTTATAAAGCATATACCTATACGAGATTGAGTACAGCTTTAGATATTTTTAAAAATAAACATTCCAGGATAATGTACACTTTGATATTTTATTCGAACTCTACTTCTTTACCACTCTAATAATTAGAATATGAAATTATTTCAAGATACTTCTTCATTGAGTTATTTAGAGATGGGCTTTTTGGATATTCGAGTTACTATTAAATTTTATTCGTATTGTTGTATTTTGTTCACTGGAGTCTGCAAGTGGATCAAGTGGGCTCTGTCTTCCACTTCAAAATGGAAAAAAAATAAAATCATTTGACAGCCTAATATTAGTCTTACCTCCCACTTGCTTTCCCCCCCCCCCCCCCCC